CTTCCGGATAGACGAGTCGGAGCAGCGCCATCTCACTGCGGAGCTGAATCTGATGTGGTTTTTAGACGTACAGTGTGAGCAGGTAGATCGCATCAGAGCGTCGGGTCGCACAGCGATGATGAAGCTCATCTCTCCTAAATCAATACCTGGAAGAGGGAACTAACAGATGGATTCGGGAAGCGTTGGGAATGATTTAATCATGACATTGTTTTGTTTTTTCAGCACCAGACGTCGCATCATTAAGAAGCTGTCCAAGCATACGGCTCCCCCCCCGATGCAGAACAGCCGTAGCTTCTCCTCCGGCTTCCCGCAGTCGTCCAGCGACAGCCTCTCCGGTTCCCCCACACACAGCCTGTCCCCCGGGCCGTCCACGCCGTGTCGCTCCCCTGCGCCGGACCACTCTGGAGGTGGGAGTCTTTCTTCATGGGTGAGAAGAAAGTTTCCACTAAATCTCACCTCCTTTCCTGTTTCTCCTCCTCCATCAGATTCCAGTTCGTCTCCTTGCTCCAGTTCTCCCAACTCTCCGGTACCGCAGGCTCGTCCCAGCTCCCTCCACGTCCACGGCCGTTACGCCAAGGCAGGGCGCTGCAAGTCCACCAGCAGCATCCCTCCGTCCCCTCTGGCCTGTATCCCTCCGCCGCAGCCCCCGTCCCCTCAGTGCTCCCCTTCCTGTCTCCAGAATCACCCTAAATCCCTGCAGGGCTTCCACGGGAAGACGTCGTCCCCTCCCACCGTCGCCCGTCACTCTGTGCGCCCCCGCAGCGTAGAGCCGCCGCGCTCGCCTTTGCTCAAGAGGGTACAGTCAGCGGAGAAGCTGACGGGAGACAAAACGGGTAAGGGGAGTTACCACGGCGACAGGAAGGCGTACAACACCCGCCGGCACACCATGGAGATGCCGCTGTCTGAGGGGGAGGGACTGGAGGACGAGGAGGGAGACGCCGGCACCAGGTTCGTCTGCGTGGGGGAGCACGGTCGCCAGGGGCTGAGCCTCGGGGGGCAGAAAGAAACCCACGACTCCGCAGGCGGCGGCGGCAACCACCAGCGGGCGTCGGGCTCTCCTCAGCACCGCGGCGGCCACCCGAAGGAGGCGGTGAGGAAGCTGGCTCTGTCGGAGCGCAGGGAGTCGTTCAAGAAGCAGGGTGCCGTGCAGCAGCTGAACTTCGACCTGGAGGAGACGGCGAGGCCGGAGGCGTCCAGGGTGTCCTGGGTCAACCCCTCCCAGCCCGAACCCAGCAGGAGGCCAGAAGAAGGCGGAGCTCAGAGCGCCGCTCAGAGCGCCGCTCAGCCCAAAGCGAAGTGTAAAGGAAAAGAAGGGCTTTAGATCCAACAGACGACGCATGAATCCAGAAGGAGAAACATCATCCTGAAGTCGTCATCATCCTCCTCAGCTCTTTACTTCCTCTCCTCAGATCACTGTGGCGCCAGAAGTAGTCTGTAAATATTTTAGTTCATTTGCAGGAACTGATATTTATGGCCTTTTAGGCTTTTTTCTTTTCTTTTTTTTTAAGACCTGTGATGCTTCAGACGGAAAAAATGGGACAGAGTAGTTTGACATAGTACTTCCCAACAAATACATTCTGTGTTCGACTGTGGCCGTTATTCCTGGACGCCGTGTATGAATCGGTGCTCCGCATCACTCGCTGGGTTTTAAGCCCAAAAGAGGAACTCCTCCTCCTCCTCCTCCTCCTCCTCCTCCTCCTCCTCCTCCTC